TTGAGGTGGGATCCTCAGTGAAAACTTCCATAATGACAAATCATTAAAGAATAATGCTTTGGGATAATTTTTATCTTAAACTTTGTATGTTATGGGTCTATTTTTATGAAAGCTGGTCTTGTGACTTTATTACTGAAATGCTTGATGTTAATGTATCCTGAGTCGCTTTTGTCCCTTGGGTAGCTAAGAGGTAGAAATGTGTGAAGAGATCCTTTCCTGTATTTTCAAGTGTGTATTTAGTTACAACACTGAGTGTGTATCTTATTCTTACAATTCTTCTTTAGTAAGCATATTTCATGTACCTTTATGTTTATAAAGGATCTGGGCTGCTTTGCACACTTGTTTTCTAACTTTAAAGCAAAACACTGACAATGCTAGGTGGGGTCTCTTAGTAGAGAATATTTTAAAACTTACAGTGTGCTCTGGCATCAGATGGTTAAAGTTTTTAGTTTATCTTTTGAAATTTAAAATGTAAAAACTTAATTGTGGTATGAAGGTTCAGGTAAGTTAGGAGAAATAATAAATATAATAAATGAAAAGATGATTTTTCTGTGACAAGCTTTTTCCAGACTAGTTGAATAATTTAAAATGAAAAATGAATGTGATAACTGGTTAATAACCTCAGTAAAGCAGCATTTGTCTGGAAGAATAAAGAGGCATTCCTGGCCTAGAGCAGCTCCTGCTTTATTTACTGCTCATTCAGAAATAATCTGTGTCCATAAAGCATTAACTATTTCCTGCTTTGGTGATGTTGAAATTAAATAATCTACTTTGAAAGAGTGAGGGGAGAACTCTCTCGTTTTTTTTTTTTTTAAACAGGATTTTCATACAGTATGGTTACCTAATTGAGGGCAAAGGTCATTTCCTCCCCAGACTTTGGACAGGTAAACAGGCTGTCAGTCACTCATTGGAAAGTGACACACCATCTGTCTTTTGAACTGAACAGTCTCTGGTTTGCTGACTGTGTGAGTGTACCTTCAGGCCGTCAAGTCCTGTTACTGCTGCCCTGGCTTTTCAGTTGGTCAGACTTGGAAGGTTAGGAGGCATCCCACTTTTCTCCTGTGGTGCTAAGGAGGTGGAGTCCAGATGTTAATCTTGGTGGTCTCATTTCCATCTTTGGGTCTTAGGTATTTTAACCCTTCCCCAGAGGACTGCTGGTGCTAGTTTGGGCTGGTTTTCATCTAGCAGCTCCATTTCTCTGGCAAGTTGGTTGCTGTTTGGTGGTTATTCTGGACTTAATATCAACTGTTAGACGTGGGCAGGTAGATAATAGTTCTGGCTCCAGATCTGAGTGTTTTCTGTGCTTGCTGTTTGTGTGTTGAGGTTTCTAAGCAAGCCATATTTAAGCTTTTACAGATTGATGTTTCTTTTATTCTGTAGTGTAGCCAAAAGCGTTATCATCCTGCGAGCCTGGCACTCTCAGTTTTTCCCCAAAGGCAGAAGTTCACCTTTGTTCAAGGAAAAGACCACGAAACAATTGCTTTCATTTTTTAGGGCCCAGCATGTCATCATCATGCACCATTCTCGGTGAAGAGAAGCTGCCTTCCTTCCTACCTACCTACCTATCTACCTATCTTTCTCCTTTCTTTCCCCTGAGCTTGTGGATAGAACTTCCCTGCTCCCTTTTATCTGTGTTCTCCCTTCCTCCCTTTGAAGTGCCAATTTAGGCACTTGGAGGAAGGTAGAATATTAAACCAGGTACATTACTTGTTTCAGATATTTCCAGTTAAAATTGTTTGAACACTTGCCCCATAGATGATGCTGAATAATCCCCTATTTGCTGGAAATCCTCAGCTTCAAGAACAAATGAGACAACAGCTCCCAACTTTCCTCCAACAAGTGAGTAAGAAAAGACGCTGCTGTCTTTGTAATGATCTGCTTGAAAGGTTGATGGTGATCGTGGCCTCCTTCCCGACTGATAGAGCAGTGCAGAGAGAGGAGCGTGTGATTTCACCACTTGCAGACCCCAGCCTGATCCTCCCCAGCCCGTGTCACCCCTGACTGTGTTTAATACCATGTTGCCTTCCTTGCTCACGAGAATTTAGGGTTTGGAAGGCTTCGTTAATAGCACAGGCCATTTCCCTTCACTTTGCTAGCCTTGAAGTGCTTACTTGTAGCACATACACTAGTTTGGACTAGTTTTGAGTGAGCTACCCTCTCTTACTTCACAGGTTGGGTTTTGTTGTAATGTCTCAGTTTCTTCCAAATTAGTAGAATGCTTGTTCTCCAAGGAGTAGACCTCATTTCCTCAAAACCAGAAATAGTAAGGTTAAAATTGTCAGTGTTGTCACATCAGGGAGGTTTAAAAACACAGTGCCCAAGATTGTCATAGTATTATTTAAAAACATGAAAGTGGTGTTGGTGCTTTGGAAACTGGTAGTTCTCAGGGTTCCTATCTGACTGAAATGATTGTTAGGCCAGCCAGCCGTTATCCACGGTCAGTGGTTGTCCTTGGTCTACTGCAATGGTCTATGTACCCTTTTGTCAGTCAGGTGTGGGTGTTTGAAAGGAACGAAGCTAACCATGGGACACTGGGTTGGCTCCACTTCGGAGCAGTGGTTGAGGTGGCAGACTAGTGACACTGTTCAGTTAGCAGCAGACAGTGTGTGGTCAGGAGACATTCACACTTTCACCAGCGTACCACCATCCAGTAAATGTGCAGTTGGAGTTGCTTAGAAATGGTTGGCTTTGTGTTTGGTTGGTTTTTGTTCTTTTTTTTCTTCAGTTGGAGTAGGGGGAAATGTGGCTTCTGGAATTGCTCTTAATTGTCTTCATTCTGAAAATGGCTTTTATGGTAGGCTTGCAATCGAGTCAAATCATGATTTGTGTATGGAATTTGCTGTCAAAGAGGAGGGTTTGTGTGTATTTTGGGAAGAAATATGGAATACTGATGTCTGGTTTTAGATTTTCTTTTAAAAATGAGGCAGAGTTGGAAAAATGTACCTACCTTGCTTTTAATTCTTTGATAACCACTGTTTGTCCTTCTTCCTTAGATGCAGAATCCTGAAACACTGGCAGCCATGTCGAACCCTAGAGCCATGCAGGCGTTGTTGCAGATTCAGCAGGGCTTGCAGACATTGGCAACAGAAGCCCCCGGCCTCATCCCAGGGTAGGCTTATTTGGGAAAGATTTGAAAGCTCATAATGGTTCATTTCTCTGAGAATTGCAGAATTAATACTGTTCTGTCTTTTATTTTGGTTGTTGACTTATTTTTTAGTTTTAAAATTTACACCTGCTTACTTTTAAGAAAATAACAGCGAATACTATGTTTAAATGTAACTGGTTGATCAGCTGATGGGGATGTGTGTGCTTTCCCTAGGTTTAATCCTGGCTTGGGAGCAGCAGGCAATTCTGGAGGCACTTCAGGAAACAACGCACCTAGCACTGCACCTAGTGAAAACACGAGCCCCACAGGGGGCGCTACTGAGCCAGGCCACCAGCAATTTATCCAGCAAATGCTACAAGCTCTTGCTGGGGTGAATCCTCAGGTGACAATGCTTTTCTTTACAAATTTGGCATTCCTAACTTAAGTATAGAACTTTCAAAAAAGGCAAAAGGAAAGCAGCAGCAGTGTTTAGGTAATGAAAAGTACTATTCAAGGATATTAAATCTAAAACCAGGCATTACAGAAATTAATTTTGTTCCTATATCAGATACCAAGGGATAGAATGCTTCAATCTAATGCCATAGTATTTAGAAATAGGACTTCAAAACTCCCATTTTATAAGGCTTTCTTCAAAGTCATTTGAAATAGTTTTATAAGGATTTATCAGAGAGAGCCTAAAAATATTGTCAGTGTTTCAGAACACCTGTATCTAGGCTTCCTATTCTAACTCATCCACTACCCCAGCACTTCTTGTAGTAACTTAACGTGTGTGGACTCCTAGTGATGGTCTTGCACCTGTGAACATTTATTGTCTTTACTAAGAATTTACCACTAAGAGGGCCTGGAGAAATGACCTGCTCAGTGGTTAAGAGCATTGGCTGTGCTTCCAGAGGACCCAGATCCAATTCCAGCACCCACATGGCAGCTCACTCACAGATGTCTGTAACTTCGGTATCCAGTCTCAGGGCTCTTCTAACTTCTGTGGGCATCAGGCATGCATATGGTGCACATACAGGCAAAACCCACAAGATAAAGTTTTTAAAAAATTCTGCCATCAGGCTAGTTAGTATATTGTAGTTGAAGTACATTCAGTATCAATACATGAGAAAGCATTAACGGTCTGCATGAGCTTTAAAGGGTTTCTGCTTGTTCACAAGCCTTAAAGCAATGGATTTAGTAAGCCTATTTTACCCTTTGTGGGAGAAGGGGAAAGGGGGGACCCCAAGGAATCAAATCCAAGGCCCCAAGCACTCATCCCCAGGCTATGAGGTTTTTCAAAAGGCAGAATTATATAGTCTATTTATCATGGTTGTTTAGATATAAACTATTCTAAAATAAAATGCTAAACAACTTTTAAATGTGATGGATATTTATAAATTATTTTAAATCATATTTTGCTCATCATTAAGTAAATATGCACTTATATATGTAAGGATAAATTATAAACTAAACAACACCTAGAAATATCTACTTTCTTAATAAAATAGTTGTAGCTAGTCTTGTATATTTTAGTTGAGTAAGTTCATTCTCTTCAATAAATAACTACATATGGTGGATGTATCTCCAGGCACAGGTAGCAATTTAGAGAAAGCTCAGCAGACCCGCATGCGTCATTTAAAAAGCCGCTGAGGTGTTTGGACAGGGACTCGGCATTAGCATGGCCTGCCTTCCTCAGAATGTGCCTCTTTGCTCCTCTCAACAGCTGCAGAGTCCGGAAGTCAGATTCCAGCAGCAGCTGGAACAGCTCAGTGCCATGGGGTTCTTGAACCGAGAAGCAAACTTGCAAGCACTGATAGCAACAGGGGGCGACATCAACGCAGCAATCGAAAGGTTACTGGGCTCTCAGCCGTCATAGCAGCACTTCTGTATCCTGAAAAATGTAATTTATTTTTGATAACGGCTCTTAAATCTTTAAAATAACCTGCTTTATTTCATTGGAATTCTGTGCTGTTATAAACGAAACCAATAGGAAGCATCTGAGGTGGAGTGCAGTAAGATGTGCGGGTTTTCTGTATCTTTGGAACAGTGGGAATCAATGTTTTCAGTTAAGGCTGCTGCATGCATCAAACACTTGGCATTTATTGTAATTTTTTAAAAATATCACCTTTTCTAATTGGGTGAACAAATTTTTGTCCTGCATCTGTCCAACTAACTTGCTTTTTAAACATAACCCTATGGTAGTAATTTATGTAGAATAAAGGCATTAAAAAGCAGATCATTTGCGCTCCATGATTTGTGGGACAGTATTGCTTATTGTGACTTTGGCATGTATTTTTGCAAATAATGCTGTAAGATTTATACTACTGACAATTTTGCTTATTTGTATACAGTACAAATTATTGCGCGTTTCTAGATCATCTAAGCAAAATTCCTGTAACCAAAAAAGTAAAATAAGGATTCTTAATTGTGTAGAATCTTACAGCACCTTTGATAAACATCTCTCAGCAGAAGTGCCATTTAGTCAGGTTTGTTGAAAATAAAGAAAAACTGATTCTGGTTATCTCTTTAGGGACATTTAATTGTACAGGAAATATACTGTAATAATATCTCAACATTTACATAATGGCTGTAAATTACCTTTCTTTTGTTCAGATTGAAGAAGCACTGTAACATACTCCAATGCATATACCCGGGGCTTTCTGCTCCCCATAGCTGTCTCAGCAGCATTGAGTTTGATTGAATGTTGCTTTCACTGAAAGTGCTGATGTTTCCGTTTTAATTGCCATATAAAAGTAGAACTATCTTTTGGGTTTATCAGCTTTCTCATTCATAGGCAATACCTGGGTTTAAAATGATTAGTGAGCCACTTGTTTCTGAAGTGTTTGCCTAGTTCTATTAAGAAATAGTTGAATGTTGTGCTGTTCAGAGCCTCAGAGAAGGGGGGTGGGGGAGGGGTAAGACAGAATCTTATTCTGGATTGGGCCAGCCTGAACTAAGTAATACTGGCAACCAAGATTCTGTGGAGACTCTATGCATATAGTAGTGTCAGTCTGGTGAAAACAAAGAGCCGTTTTAACAGTTTTGAGTAAGTTTGGCTATCCTATAGCCTCTTTCTTCCTTCCCCAAAGAAGTTCTATTTGCCTAACTCTCACACTGTTGGGGTGATACATTCCTTCGGGACCAATTAAAATATAACTTTAGGGTCAGTGATATATGCGGCTGACTCTGGTTCAGTATTCTCTTAGGTCATTGTATTCTTTCTTGTACAGTTATCCAAAATTATGATGTTAAAATAATCTAAAACGAGTTCAGACAAATAAAATCAAGGGAACTAGAAGGTGAATTCTGTAACTTCTGTAAGCTGCTTGCTATTAAAAGGTTGAGAGGCCAGGTTGCCCCCAGACTGCACTGTTGTGACACTTTCCCCAGGAAGAAAGCATGTACAAAAGTCAGGGTGGAGGCATGGCTGGAGAGCTTGGCGAGGATAGTGTTGGTGTGTCCCTGCGCTCTGCCTTACGCCTCCGTCTGTCTGGGTTAAGGACTTTGTACTGGTGAATGGTACCACAGGCGGGGCGGTGTCATCTCCAGTTTGATTTATTAATCACAAATAACAATAAATTTCCAGCTTTTACACTGGTTTGTCTTGCCTCTTTTGTAGAAAAATGTCTGTTTTTTCTCAACACGTCTTAATGTAAAGGCTATTTGGCTTAATTTATCCCAGATTTTGTGAAAAGTTGGCTATTTCTTCTTTGGGGGGGGGGCGGAGGGTACAGTAGTGGTTTATGCAACAGGGTGTTACTTGGTAGATCCGGCTGTTCGGAAATTCATTCTCTATCCCTAGACTGGTCCTCCTCCTGAGTAAGTCTCCTGAGTATCGCGATAACATGTGAGCCGTCCTGTCCTGCAAGTGCAGTGTTGTGACAGTGAGCCATCGAGTAGGTCAGGTTACCAAGTGTTCTTTGACTTGATGCTTTCCGCTCCTAGTAGGTTTGTTTAAGAATGACCCCGTGTACGAACAGCAGAGCTGTTGCTGGAATTCTTAGAAAACATTGAGTGCAGGCATGGATTGTTCTTACGTCAAGTCCTTTAGAACAGTTTGAGTAAAGAATGGAGGGGGCGAAATTGAAACTTTAAACAAGTTACCAGACAGCAAACAGCAGCCAGGCACATGACAGCTGGGTCTCTATGTTAAGGATTTCGACTTTCAAGCCAGTAGGGATCCAATGTAACTGTAGCTGGGGGGAGATCCAAAGTTTGAGGCCAGTCAGGATATACAGTGAAATTCTGTGTATCAAAAGAAGAAAAGGGAAAAATACTCAAATCTTGGATTTCAAGTTTGGTTTAGCCAATGTAATGAAAGGGATTATTAATTAGACAAGGCCTTACCATGTATCCCTGGCTATTGTCGAACTCACAAAGATCCACTAGCCTCTGTGGGTTTGTTTGTTTGTTTGTTTGTTTGTTTTTAAACAAATAGCATTTCCTTTTAAACAAATAGCATTTCTTTTTATTGTGGGGCAGCAGTGGTGTGTAGTCAAAACAAAGACAACCTATGGAAATAGACTAAAGTTGTTACCAGGGAGTATGGCAAGGGGACAGGATAATGTTACAGGGAGCAAAACTTCCTCAGAGCTCAGTTTACCTCGCTGTACTTTGTGTCATAAAGTGTGCCAGGAACTTACCCTACTTCTGAAGTCCATATTTAAATATGTGTATGCATGGAAACATTCACTACAGGCAGCAGAAATCTCATTATGTTGAAAGCATCTCTTGTCTGAAATGCTCTGGACCAAAAGTTCCAGTTGTTTTGGGTTTTAGAGTAGTGTGTCTAATGAGATATCTAGGGAGTAGATATAAGTCTAGACATAAAATTCATTAATGTTTCACACATACCTTATACACAGTATTTTCAATCACTTTGTGGATGAAACAAAGTTTGTGTCCACTTCACCAGAAAGCAAAGGTCTCACTTCCTCCCTGTATGGACAATCTGGCTATTTGACCTCACCATAACCCTAGCTGAATATATACGCCACCAGTGAGCAACCATTTCCTTACGGTTGCACATGGCGTCTAGAGGCAGTTTGCAGTGCTCCCCACGATGTCCTCACCACTGTTACGGCCATCTGAGTGCGGGCAGTCCATCTGCTTACCACAGCCTAGTGAGGGAAATGACGAACACCTGGGGCCTCGCTCATCGTCAATGTCCAGAGTGGCTTCAGTATTCATGTTGTCCACGAATTTCTCTGCCTTAGGTCTGTTTTGCCACACATCTTTAAAATGTTAATGCCGTTCCTTCTTTTAAGTTTCTGCAGTCAGGCTTTGAATATTCACAGTTCCGTGTGATCATTGGCTGTTTCACAAGCAGCACACTGTCCAATAGCGCATGTTCACTGCTAACACTGATGGGTCCGCTCTTTCAATACTTCATCAGGGTGCTTCAGTTTTAGCCTAATGCCATGTTTTTCTGTTCTTTACTCTTAGCTCACTTTCAGCCCTGACCTTCAACAATTTCTCTTCCTGTTTCTTCAGGTCATATCTGGTAGTTGTTCTAGTACCATACTCTTTAATAAGATGGTTTACCGCTGTCCAGTTTTTCCAGCAGGTTGACTTCCTGTGCTGTAGATGGACATAAATGCTTCCTCTTTTTCTTGTCCTGCTGGTCTTTTTGACATTTTAAACAAAATCGTTATACCACAGAGCAGAAGACAAGCAAAAAAGAAAAAGCAAACAGTGAGTATAAGTAGTATTTGTAAGTCTTGGTTACATGTGGGTGACAGGGAGACCATTGTTATTTTGGACCTGTGTGCTGGACGTTTTATTGCATACTGAGAGGATGTGTGGGTCGATGGATCTGGGCATCTGCTACAAAGGTACATCACGGCTGACGAGGACTGGAAGGGTGTTCTCTTTTGGGGGTGATGCTGTTCAGTCAGAAGCTCTGTGTTCTGTCACCCAAGTATAGCAGTCAAATACAGTTCTGTCGGATACTGACAGTAGTGGGCCCAGGCTACGTAGGAGACAGTACATACCCCATACTGCCTGCCAGGATCAGGAGGTCCCGCGAGAAGTACAGCCTTGTGATAGAGTCTGGGCCAGGAGTGGGCGTTCTCATACAAGGGGCAACATTCTTTTTCCTGGTGTGTTATGTGTGGTGAAAATGCTTGTCAGTGTGGGCATGTGTATCTATGGACTTGAGTGTAGAGGCCAAAGACCAATGTCACATTTCTTTCCCTGATCACTCTCTTCCTTTGTTTGTTGAGGCGGGATCTCTGAACCTGGAACTCACTGAGGAGGCTAGTCTGGCTGTCTCCACTTTCCTAGCCCTGGGATTACAGGCCGCTGTAGCATACCAGGCTTTTTAGTGGATGCAACTCAGCTGCTCCTGCTTCTGTGGCAGATGCTTCACCAACTGAGCCGTCCTCAGCCTAGATCTGCCATTCTTAATTGAGAATGGTCTAGAGAAAACGGTGGAGTGGGAGTGTCAGCAAGTGGCAGTCTAGGTAAGAGGTCACGGGCACTTGGGCTGGCTAGATGTGTTCTAGTTTTATTGCTGAGACTGAGAGATACTGTGATCAAGAGCAACTTAGGGGAAGAAAATGTCGATTGGACCGACAGTGGCAGGTCATGATCCATCAGTGAGGGAAGTCAAGGCAGGAATTCGAAGGAAGGCCTGCTAGCTGTTCCATACAGCATTGCCTCTGATCAAGGAAGGACAGAGAAGCCATGGAGAAACCCTGCTGGCCCACTCACAGGCTGGCTGGTGCTCAGGACCACAGTGGACATGGTGGGGTTAGACTGTAGTTATGGTAAACCAAGGGAATACCATGATGATCGGGAATGATCTGGGCAAGGCCTGGGGAACACACTTGGAATGGCACCAGAGCTTGAAGTAGCATGTGAGATTTAGAAACTATTTCTTTTTATTTATTTCCCCTTTACTTCTTTCTCCTGCATTCAGTAACATATACTAGTCTCCAATCTGGTCTGAGGTGTTTCAGAGACTGTTCACAAACATCTGTAATTCCAACACGCCCCACACGGAGGCCAAAGTTGACAACAGCTAACTGTTCCGGGCATCAGACAATGTATATTCTGAGGGCTAGGCAAAGCCATTCCATAAAAGTTCAGTTGTACACAGTCACAAAGACAACATTCTGGGAAATAATTACTACACCTGGCAGGAGCACATCCAAGAATGATTCATGTTATGGAGGAGCGGAGGTTACAAGACTCTTGTTTTGGATACTTGGAGTTTTCTCACAAGCTCTCCGAAATCTCACAGGCTTCATCCATGGATTGTGTTCTGACAGGCCGCCACAGCAGCATCTGGTGCAGTGTGCGTGCATGTGCTCAGAAGGAAGCTGCTGTAACAAACTACAACACAGCTGAGCTCCAGAGATACCTGGGGTTCTTAACATGTTTGATTTTAAATTAACCTGTGGGTATTGCATGTCAGAAACCTATTCCTGGCACTTGGGATGTCCAATGAGTAGAGACAAACTGAAACCTTTGTTTCCATTTGCTTTTGGTTTTTGAGACAAGGTCTCACTATATAGCCTTGGCTAGGCTGGAACTCACAATGTAGACCAGGCTGGCTTCAAAGTCACAAAGATCTGCCTGAGTGCTAGCAGTAATGGCCTGTGCTGCTACACCTGGCTGAACTTTAGACTCTAATCTATTAAAGCCAACAATCTTAATAGAATCTAACTGCCTGAAAACTGCTTTATATTTCCTCTCCAGTCAGTCAACCTTACAGGGGGTGTGGTGGGGTGGGCCATAGAGCCAATCATTCCAGAGTTCAGTTTTGTCCCTTTCTTCTAGGGACTCAGCCATATCTCTAAGACGTGTGATGTCTTTCACCATCTCTTGGCATTCTCTGCATGTCTGGGCTCAGGCAGTTCTTCGAACCTCGAGTCTAGTTAACATCCGCCAGTGCCAACCTTGTACTACTCCTGGGGTGTCTGTGCCGTAGGGGCAGGGTGGGGTGGGTGCTGACTCAACCAAAAATTGATTGTGTACATATGAACTAAATACAGCAGACTCCGCTCAGCAATGTGAGGTGAAAATGTCTTTAAATACAGAATATAGATGTGCCTTCCTGTCCCCCTACCATTACTATAGCCAATTTTTTTGTGGCCCCACATTTTTTCCTTTTGGGGTGGGGCTCTGTAGCTCTGGCTGCCCTGGAACTCAGTAGCTGAGGATGGTCTTGAACTCAGAGGTCTGCCTGTTCAGTATGCACTCCAAGCCCACCAGTCCTTATGTGTAGAGAAAGCTGGTTTGTTGGTAATGCTCTCCGTTGAGGTGATGTATTAAACTTCATGTTGCAATATTTTTGTTTTTATTTTTTAGAATCCTTTTTTGCTGAGTTGCTCATTGAAGTTGAAAATCTCACCCAGATTGTAAATTGAGTTCATTTAAAGTCTCTTGAGGTCATTCATGATTAAAACAAAATAATTTTATGTGTATGTGTGTGTTTCTGAAAGTATGTTTATGTACCACAAGTATGCAGAAGCCTGCATGGGTAGAAGAGGAGTTGGATCTTCAGGAACTGGTTCTGAGCCACCATGTGGGCGCTGGGAGCCAAATGTCGGCCCTCTTGAAGAACAGTAGGCGCTCTTACCTGCTGAGCCATCCCTCAGTTTTTTATGGAGATAGGATCTCACTATGTAGCTCTGACTGAGTGACCTGACTTTCAGTGTAGACCAGGCTGGCCTTGAACTCACAGAGATCCACCTGCCTCTGCCTCCCAAGTGCTGGGGTTCAAGTTGTGTGCCACCATGCCTCTCTCCCATTTATCATTTTTTAAAACTAGGCTTCCAGTTCTTTGTGCAGCATTTCAGTCATTTTAATAGCATTGAATACAGCTATTGGAGTGTTAAGAACAACACAAAATTAAAATTAATAAAAAGAAAACAATAGTAAAATATAATAAAAAGGTAAAATGTTGATTGTGCCTATGTGTGTGGGGGGGTGGGCGTTGAATGTAGGAGCTTCTTTACAGGTCCTCTAACATGAGTCCCAGCCCCCTCTCTGCGTGAGATTTCCTCCATCTGTAGATGGAGTTCACTGCAATTCCTCTTGGCTCCCACTGGCTGAGGCCTGGGCTGGTCAATGTTAAGCTGCCAGGGTCACTGCTGGGTTAATCTTAGAACTTTGCAGGCTCCGTGCATCAGGAGCTGCTGCTGGCTCCCATGGGCTTTGTAGCCTGTAACCTGTTTCGGTTCCCATGCCTCCAGAGCACCCCCTTCCACCCCTCTGTACACCCAGAGGTAATAAATGTCCAGCTGAAGTGGTCAGAGGGTCAGCAAGCCGAGCACTGAGTTCTGCACGCAGGAAGAGCGGAGGGACTTGAAGTTCTGCCTGTTGGTGTGGGCACTTAGAGACCCACCCAGCGGCAAACTGCCCTGTGGGGAGGAGGCTGGAAAGATGGGCAGTCCTAGACCTGTGCTCAGCTTTCTGTTTCCATGGTAATGTGCAAGCTAAAGGCTTGTCCCTCCCCTCACCACAGAAGTGGATGAACACTGCATTCTATAGTCAGGCTCTGCTCTCCAGTGTGTTCCAGCCTCTCACTGGGTCTACATCTGGCCCTCCCCCTTTCCAAGCCTTTGTGGCTGTCTCCATGGCAACCCAGTGGCAGGGAGTCCCCAGGATCCCTGATTGTTGCTTGCTTTCTGTTCCCCAGAGTGCCTGGGTCTCAAACAATAAGTATCCCCTTCTCAATATGGTGGCTGACTGTATCGCACTCTGAGATATAGGGGGTGACAAAATGTATTGAGTCTCCAAAGCTTGCCTGCCAGACAGGTTTAAGGCCTGTCAGCAGTGTGGTCTTTTCTGACTAGGACAAGTCCAGCCTGCACAGCTCAGGTTCCCCTTTGCCTGATCCCCAATGCACTTTCTCTTGGAATGCAGTCTCCCCTGTGCTACCCAGACTCAGCCTCACTGCTGCTTCCCCTGCCCTTTTGTCACTTGAGAGTGGGGTGGCCCAAGGCCTCTTCAAATGACATTAAACAGTTTCCTTTTCCTGTGGGAAGACTGTCTTAGCAAGTTCTGCCTATCCTGTATTCTTTTTTTTTTGGGGGGGGGGGGGGGGGCAAAAGTTTTTCTTTATAGCCCTGGCTGGCCTTGAACTCAGAGATCCACCTTCCTCTGCCTCCAGAGTCTGGGATTAAAGGTGTGCGCCACCACCGCCTGGCCTATCCTGTATTCTAAGCCAGTTCACCTCACCCCTTTCTGTGCTCTGTTCTTCCTTTGGTCTTCTGAGTTCTTACCTGGAGTTCTGTAGATTTGTGTGAATTGTCCTGTGGGGTTTTGGCTTGGTCTGAACCCACCAGCTCTGAACTTGACCCTAATGAAAAGTCTCTGATGCTTCCTTCCAGGTGGTGCTCTACATAAACTGCATATCCAGATGGGTCTGATTGGCCAGCGCTTGCCCCGGTTCTGGGCCAGGCTGCTCTTCACAATTGTAAGGCTCTGGGGTCAGCCACTGGAACACCCTGATTGAGATGGTTTAGTGTGCTTGCTGGGAAGGCATGGTCTCTGGAATGCCGGGGCTCAGACTCCGGCCTCGAACATGCTAGGCGAGTGCTCTACACTCTACACTGAGCTATATCTGCACTCCCTGAGACATCAAGACTAAAGTGCATTGGATGTTGGGAACCAATGCCTTTCTCTTTTCATTTTCTTGTCACATGACAGAGGGTCTAAGGTCCAGCTGTGGCACATCTGTGGTGATCTGATACAAAGCTTATCTGGGATATGCTTTCAGTTCTGTCATGGGAAGGGAGTGGGGCACAGGGACATTCTACCAAGTCCCAAGGTTCCTGCCATGTCCTTCCTTCCTCATGAGGAGTCTAGCCTGATAACACAAGATGACCTGTCTTTCCCTTTCCCTCCAAATGGAGCTAAGAACCACAGCTTTGTGTTATCGCCCTCCAACCTTTCAGAAGACTACCATAGGTGTGGCTCAGTGAATACAGCTGGTTCATGGTTCCTTCCTCTATTTCTTGGTGTGGGGAACTCTTATTTTTATTTGTTATTTTGAGGCAAGGTCTCACTGTGTAGCTCTGGCTGGCCTGGAACTGAGTATGCAGGCCAGGCTGGCCTGAAACTCGAAGATTCAGCTGCCCCTGGCATGCTGGGATTAAAGGTGAGCATCACCATGCCTGGCCCATGAGGGGAACTCTTATCCTCCTCCGGCAGGATTGGACCATGTCAAGTCTGAAACCAAGGAGAACATGTTCCAAATAACTTGGCAAAGAGGAAGAGCAGGAAGCTTCATGTCTTCCCAGGAGTGCCAGTGTGTGGTAGGTAGCTTTCCTGTTGCTGTGACCAAGCTCCTGGCAAGCAGCAGCTTGGGGAAGCCAGGGTGGGCTCATCTGCTTTCACAGTTTGACAGGATCCAGTCCAGCATGGCAAGGACAGCATGGAGGCTTGAGCTGGTGATGACTGGTCACATTGCATCCAGTCAGGAAGCACAGAGCAGTGAAGTCTGCTTCTCAACCCACATACTTGTACTCAGTGTGGGACCCAAGCCCGTGGAGTAGTGTTGCCCACACTGGGGTGCGTCTCCCCACATCCATTAGCCTCACACACCTTTAATCTCAGCTCTCTGATTTTGAGGCCAGCCTGGTCAATGTAGGGAGCTCCAGGACAGCCAGGATAACATAGAGAGGCACTGTCTCAAAACACAGAAAAAACAGTGATTTTTAAAAACAAGAAAAAAGAGAATCCATCATAGATATTCCCCATTGTGATTCTAAGTCTGTAGGGTTGACAGTCAAGATGATCCATCACACTGTTCAACCAAAAGAGCCCTTGGAGTCTGTTAGCAAGTCAGCTATTTGTAACCCCTATCAGGAAATGGAGCCAGCACTCAGGAGGCAGAGGCAGGTAGATCTCTGAGTTCAAAACCAGCCTGGTCTACACATCTACACAGCTAGTTCCAGTACAGCCAGGGCTACACAGAGAAACCTTGTCTCGAAAAACAAACAAAAAGTTAAATGTGGTGTATGTACACAATGGGATTTCACGTGGTTGTAAAAAGGCCCATATTTTCTCCCAAGCAAGACTTAAAAGTTTATGTACATATATGATGTCCACACTCAAACACGCAGGAAGAGATGTTGAGAAAGGGTGAGAAACCATAAATGCAGGAAGGTGGTCACCTGGGGAAAGGAAGGGAACCAGCCAGAGAGGCAGGGACACAGGGGAGGGGAAGGCAGTGAAAGGGAATGAATTAGAACAAGGTATAACGTATGTGTGAAGACGAAGCCAGTTATGGCAGCCCACACCTTTAATCCCAGCACTGGGGAGGCAGAAGCAGGCGGATCTCTGAGTTTAAGGCCAACCAGGGCTACATAGTCCCTGTCTCCCCCCCACCGCCCCAAAAAATGATAGTCATAATACCTGCCTCAAATGAATGTACCAGGCTTTGCTGACTCCACATGGGAGGCCTTACCTTTTCGGAGAAGGGAATCGGGGCTGGGTTGAGGGGAAAGGCTGGGGGGGCAGTAAGAGGAGAGATGAGAGGGGAATCTGTGGTTGGTATGTAAAATGAATAAAAAAATTTCTTAATAAAAAATAGTCCTAAGAATAAAGAAAGATATAAACAATAATAACAAAAGAAAATGAAGCCTGTGATCTTGTATGTTAAGGTAAATATTTAAAAACAGTAACTGCAGCTGGGCAGTGGTAGTGGTAGCTCACACCTTTAATCCCAGCACTTGGGAGGCAGAGGCAGGTGGCTCTCTGTAAGCTTGAAGATGGTCTACTCCACGACAGCCAGAGCTGTTACACTGAGAAACCATGTTTCAAAAAACTAAAGGCAGTATGGTATGAAATGACTTGCAGTGGGTGGCTGGTTTTTGTTCGGTTTCTATTGCTGAGACCAACTTCCAGCGGATTTCCAGGACAGCATATTTCGTTCATTTGTACAAACACAAGCATGAGGCATTGTTCTTTTGAGTGGTAGTGATTTCTAGCATTGATTACAGGATTTCCACTGACAATCTGGTTGCATTATACATGACTTTACACAAGTTTCAGCTTTAACTTTTGACTTCCTTTCCCTCCTCCTGGCACACCTGCAGGATGCCAAGCATACCACAGACTCCTGTCAATACAGTCAAACAGTGACCTCCACGCACTGTGGTTTGTTCTCAGTTAGGGATTTAGAATTCACCACTCACTGGTGAGGCGCTTGGAACCAGAGTGCGCTGTAAACCACAGGTGAGAAGTGATTACTTCATTTGCAGCTCCTCCATAATGGCGTCAGCGATCTCCGAGACACTTTGGTCCACGCTGACTTGGATGAAGTTTTCAGGAGCTGATGGGGGCTCCAGAATACTGAACTGAGACTGCAGTAACTCAGGCGGCATAAAATGTCCTTTTCGTTGGAACAAGCGTCTGGAAATGATCTCAAACGACCCACAGAGGTAGACCACCAAGAGCTGTTCGCCAGCCAGCTTTCCCTTTGCTGACTCATTGCTTTTCAAAGGCACATCATTTCTTCCATGTATCAAGATGTCTCTGTACATTTTCTTCAGTGCTGAACAGGCTAGAACAACATGCTGTCCTGAGGCCACATCTCTGTTTTCAAAACATAAGAAATGCAGAATGGGGGTACTCTGTGCCAATTCTAGGGGAGCCAGTCCCTGCCGATGGAAAATGGTACTTGAAAATGGAGATTAAGCCTGGGGTGCTCTCAGCCTTCCTCAGTGAACTGAGTAATCTTGGGCTCAAGTGTTCCTCTCCAGGCATCAGTTCCTCGCTTGTTAAGTGGCCAGAGGACAGAGCTAATGAGTACCTGGTGTGCACACGTGTTTGGCCCCACCGTGATGCCGCTGGTTCTAATTTCAGAAGTGATTTTTTTTTTAATTTACTGGATTATACCAGGGCCAGATGACTTCTTACCTTACTAAAATGTCATGCAAGCTGCAGAGCCATGGGATCCTGTCCTGAAATTAGAGCAGGAATTACAAGCTTTCCCGGGTGTTGCTTGTACAGAAGAAACAGTAGTACCACAGTCACACATGCTAACTAACCCAGAGACCTCGGTGGGAACTGGGCATGGACCGTCCGAAGGCCACGCCCAAGGCCTACAACCACAGAGGCAGTGCCTTGGTTCTGGTATCAATGGCTCTTTCACGATATAAGTCCCCTTAAGCTACATTACTTTATACCCTCTCCCCCCCCCTGTGTAAATGTCTCCCAGCTTTGATGCTGACACACTTCTTACTGTAGCTAATATATTCTCTCAGTGAATCTAGTCAGAACCTGTAGCTAAGCACATGCTCTGCCGCTGAGTTCTATCCCAACCCTCGAGTTAACCTCTCACCCCAACAGGGCTTCTCTGTGCAGCCCTGGCTGTCCTGGATCTCCCTCTGTAGACCAGGCTGGCCTCAAACTCAGATCTTCCTGCCTCTGCCTCCCAGTGCTGGGATTAAAGGCGTGCTCAAGCACCACCCTGCCTAACTTCTTAATGTAGCACTTTAAATCTTTCAAAATGACTCTTGCAATACCTTGTGGTTAGCCAAGGTTTCCTACAACATTCAAGAACTAATGGGGATGAAAAAGATTATTTATAAGCTTCTTAATTTTAACTTCTTGGATATATATTTTTTTCTTTTTTTAAGTATTATTTCATGTGAATGTTTTGCGTGCGCGCGCACTGAGTGCATGCCCTCAGAAGCCAGAAAAGAGTGGAGGAATCCCCAGGAACTGGAGTTACAGGCAGCTATGAGCTGCCATGTGGGTGCAGGAACTGAACCTGGGTCCTCTGGAAGAGCAGCCAGTGCTCCTAACCCCTGAGTCACTTCTCCAGCCCCTCAGGTATGTTGTGTAAAGCAGCTCCTAGGCCTGTGTAGCAGAAGGTGACTCAGCCTTGACAATGCCATCCAAGAAAGTTCTGTCTCCTTTCCTGGGATTCTGTACAAGCGTTGTCACCGCCACCCACCTCGGCCACACCACACCACTCCCATACCCTGGTGGATTATCAAACCTTCAGCTCAACAGGGAAGGGATGGCCTTTGAGTAGGCATCCCCAAGGAGTAGCCTGGAGCTGAGATATTAAGGGTGAACATCGGTCACTCAGTGAAGGAGGAAACATTCCAGGTAGCAGGGGGCAGTGGACACAAAGGCCTTATGAGGAACAGCATGGTCACAGGAGGGACTGAGCCGCTGAGAGGTTCCTGTGGACACAGAGTACCTAACACTTTTCTAAAAGAGACTCCACATACGTGAGATCAGTTAAAAGCCTAAAGGGTCTCAGACTTGGTACCTGGTGCCGTGGTTTGAGTGAGAACGGCCCCCATAGGCTCAGATACTGGTCCCTAGTTGATGGAACCTTTGGGGGAGGATGAAAAGGTGTGGCTTCCTTGGAGGAAGTGTGTCATTGGGAGCAGGCTTTGTGCATTCCCAATGCTCTCTGCCTCCTGTTTCAGGTCAACTATTGAACATTTCAGCTGTTCCTGCTGTCTTGCCTTTGCTCCACCATCATGGACTCTAATCTTGTGAAGCTGTAAACCCAATTAAACGCTTTTCTAAGATGCCTCAGTCATGGTGCACAGCAACAGGAAAGTAATTAAGACACATGGCCACATTGAATTTGCATGGCCACTATGGCCTTGGAGTTCACCGGAACTTGATGGTGTGGGAAAGGGGAAAGGACCTAGGAGGCACTAACTTCTGTGTCTGAGCACAAGGGAGCCTCTGCTCACTTGGGGATTAGAGATTAAAATCCTGCAACAAGCTGTGGCTGGCTGTGCACAAGACAGGTGAGAAGGTGGCTCACTCCTGGCCTCAGTTCATGGACAAGTCAGGTTCTAGGCTACTAGACAAGGAGGCGTGAAGCAGAGATACTGGACACCCACGGCCAACGTTACCTGGTCACTCAGAGGTACCCCTTTTCCCATCTTCATCCGATTCTCTTCAGAGTGGTAATCATCGGCATCATAGAATTTCCATCCCAGCTTTAGGAATGAAGGGAGAGGTGTATGTAGCATCAGCAAAAACCATAAACAATCACCAAGAGCTTACTGGCAGGCAGGTATAGAAATCACTGGTCTAGCCAGGCAGTGGTGGAATACACCTTTGATCCCAGCACTCAGGAGGCAGAGCCAGGCAGATCTCTGAGTTCGTGGCCAGCCGGTCTACTGAGTGAGTTCCAGGACAGGCTCCAAAGCTATACAGAGAAACCCTGTCTCAAAAAATAAAAAATAAATCACTGGTCTGAGGCTGCCCCTCTCACTTATAAATACCAAGAAGAAACCTAGATTGCCATGCTGAGGCATCTGCACAGACCATAGGTCAAAAGAAAGGGATGGAGCTGTGGACAAGAGCACAATGGATGAGGGACGTTACCTTAGAGGCCAGCAGCGCGCCCACGGTAGATCTGTGAAAAGAATACAGATGTGTCCATTTCTACTCAACACATGTAAGTGCCAGCTGTTTTGAGAGGATGCCTGAGAGATGAGCAGCTGTCACATTAAAATGCAGGTCCCTCTGTGGTCCTAAAGCAGAGATGCCCTTAACCCTGGAGTCTAGAGACAACCTTCACTGTCCTAAGATGTATTATCCAGAAAGCAGTTCATCAGAACTAATTAGACCACTGAGCCAGTGTGGTGGTACATGCCTGTAATCCCAACACTTGGAGGTCCACAACACAAACCAACAAACAACAAAGCATTTTCTCAATAATCGGTGTTTCATAGTTATTTGTGTCGGCACACACCTGTAATCCCATGATACGAGAGGTGGGGGCAGGAAGGTAGTCAGTTCTAGGCCAGTTTGGATGGCACATTGAGACACTGACTCAAAAAACAAACAAACAAACAAAAAAAAACCAATGACAACAGAGAGCCATTGTTTTAGTTCCTATATAGAGAGAATACCAAACGAATAAAGTGGTAGTTTTATAAAAAATTCAAGAGAGGATTGGTTTTTTTTATTAAAAAAAAAAAAAAAACTATTTTGTGTTAGCCAACTACTCCTGGGCCTCCCAGGAGTTCTTGATACACCTAGTGGGAGGGGTTTAATAAGAGATTTAATACCATGCAGCCCTGTAAAGTTCGGGGGCCATAAACACATCAAAGCATTGTTAGTTTACTAGATACCCATAAGGGGCTGCAGAGGAAGCTCAGCAATTAGCACTGGCTGCTTTTCCAAGGGCCCTGGGTTCGATTTCCAGGACCCACATGGCAGGGATCTGATGCCCTCTTCTGGCTTCATTGTGCGCTGCACCCATGTGGTACTCAAACATGCAGACAAAAAAAAAAAAAAACAAAAACAAAAACAAAAAAAACCATACACATAAAAGAGAAGGTCAGTGAGTCAAGAACGGCCAACACCTGTTAAGATGGGGTGTCCCACAGAGTATGCTAGTGAGGACTGGGACCTCAAAAGTGGAGGTCTGGGCCTCAGTCATTCTGTCATTAAATGGCTGTTCCTTAGCTAACTGGGCTTCTCGAGTCCTCAGTTTGGTCAACTTGCTATACAAGTTGTCCGTTCATCTCTAGTTTATTCAGCCAACTAAGAGAACTTCAGGTATATGGGTGTCTTGTTTGCATGTAAGTTAGTGTACCACATATGTGCAGTGCCCAGGGAGGTCAGAAGAGGGTCTGGAACTTGGGTTATAGACCATCATGAGCCACCATGTTATTATTGGGAATTGAACCCAGGTCTTCTGGAAGAGCAGCCAGTGCTTTTAACTGAGCCGTCTCTCCAGTCCCAATTCAGCCAATTTTTATTGAATATGTATCACCTAGCAGTTCCCAAAAGACAAAGAAGAGACCACTATGCTGTACTTTGATTAAGGTGAGTGCACCACAGCGGACCCAAACCAGAGTTTTGCACAGGAAAAAAAATCATACTTAAGATCAAGTTAGATTAACTATGAATAAACATGTTAGCACCAACTATAGTCTAAAAGAAGAGTGATGTGGAATAATCCTCTTGTACACTGTAAAGATTTGTCACTCAAATTGGTTTAATAAAACACTGATAAATAAAACACTGGGCCAGTAGCCAAGCAGGAAGTATAGGCGGAGCAACCAAACTAAGGATGATGGGAAGAGGAAGGATGGGGTCAGGAATCATCAGCCAGATGTAGAGAAGCAAGATAAGAATGCTGTACTGAGAAAAGTTACCAAGCCACGTGGCTAAACATAGGTAAGAATTATGAGGTAATTTAAGTGTAACTGTTAGCTAGTAATAAGCCTGAGCTCTTGGCTGAGCATTTATAAGTAATATTAAACCTCTGAGTCAATTATTTGGGAAGTGGCTGCCAGGTATTTAGGGACAGGCAGGCGGAAGAGAAATGTTTGATTACAGAAGAGCTAGGGTACATGTCAGCTGGCAGAAAGGAGGTAGAAAGGAAAGGAAAAATCCACTCTCTCTGCTCCATCCAGATCTAAACCAGAGGACCACAGGAGGAACAAGGCGTAGTGTGGGGCTCATAAGCAATGACTGATGTAAGCTTACAAGCCAAACTTCAGGACCCAGATGTCTCTCTCCCAGCAGGTTGGACTAAAAGGCACCTTGGAAGGCAGTAGGCTATCAGGGAGAGGGAAGAAATAAAGAAAACTAGATTTGAAAGGTTTAAGCTGATCCTAGCAGAAGCTGAGGTGGCTTTACTGTGATATTAAAATATAAGAAAATAAACAATGCTAAGGTTCTCTGGCTCATCCTTCCAGTCTCTGTGACAAGGACAATCTGAGCACTTATTATGGGATAGGTGCTGTTCTGGACAAGACAGAAAGGGTCTCTGGTGGGGGAAGAGACAATGAACACAGCGAACAGGTTTCCCGATTATACAACAGCCGGGATTTTCAGGCTCTGTGATTTCTGTTCATTTTTGTGGCTCTGGGATTGAACTCAGGGCATGAAAGTCAAGTACTCCACCACTGAATTACACCTACAGCTCTGGGCTCTGTGTTCCATTTCACTTTTAGTTCTGAGTTTTGGTTTTTAAAGCAGAGAATGATGGACTGACTAATACTGTGATCCAAGCACCTAGAAAACTAGGCAGGAAGATCCCTGCATTTGAAAGGCCAGCCTTAACTGCACATCAAAAATTCTTCTCTCAAATTAAACACTACTTAGTAATTTTGGAAACATAAAGCTACCTTGTAGGACTGGGGAGATGGCTTACTGGTTAAGAATACATACTGTTCTTGCAAAGGACTTGAGATCAGTTCCCAGAACCGATATGGATTGGCTCACCGCCATCCAGCTCCAGAGGATAAGATACCTCTGAGGGCACCTGCACTAGTGTGGGCAGGTGCGGACACACACACACACACACACACACACACACACACACACACACACACACACTTAAAAATAATAAAACAAGCCTTTCATTTTAAAAGACTACCTTGTGGTTTAGAAAGTCCCCAGAGAGACACATCGACCCTTAAAAGGCTCTGGCTCACCAGTTAACATCTGTTGGGATGCCTACGGTTGTATGTTGCAGTTTGGTGTCTTGGATTATACCCGGTGCAGTCTGATGGTGTCTATCAAACCAAGTGCCTACTGCTTGCTTAATTCTAAACTGGCTGCCCTGGGCTGAGAAGAAACTGCATATTTTGCAGAGTTCTGGCACTTTGCATATGAACATTCCTTCTTAAGCAGGAACAAGATCAAGGAAGACGATACCTTGCAGAGTGATCTTCACTTTTCAAAGTCTATTCAGAAAAATGCAGAAACTCACCCAGTAGGGAGACCATCTGCCCAACCAGACAAAGCTTTGTAAAGACCCGGGACAAGGTTTACCTCTTGGTTGGGACTTTGCACCCTCCCACCTTGCTCTGCAAGATGTCCCCAGGCCCAGGTTCGTAAGACTGAAGCTGAAAGTTGTGGCGGGACTCTGTGTCTCTCCTGCTACAACTTTCCAGGCTGCACTCCAGCAGCCTCTCCATGCCCGACCTTCGTTCCCCGGCTGCTAGCCACCATCAACAGGACCTTGGCGTTTCACCCGTGGTGACCCTGGGGAGCGGCCAGCGGGGCAGGAGAGCGGGGGACCTCGGCAGGGCTCCCAGGGCTCAGGCCGCCCCACCGCCTCCCAGATCCCGCCCGCCTGCGGCCTCCGCGACCTACTTCCCGGAGCCGCTCACGCCCATCACCAGCAACACCAGCGGTGCCTCCATCTCCCAGTTCCTTGGTCCTCGGCGCCCTCTTCCGGGACAGGGCCCGCCTAGTCCTGACGTCACAGGCCCCGCCCCCGCCGACTCCAGTGCGGACCGCTGGGTGGTGCAGCCAGAGGGCAGCTGCTGGCGTTTCCAGGTGCTTGTGCTCTGCCACAAGGAATCCACCAGGGACGGGTGGACAGTGATAGAAATATTTTACTAACAAAGACAACAGTGAAGGGACAACGACGTGGAGCCAGGGATGGATCTCTCTCTCTCCCTCCCTCCCTCCCTCCCTCCCTCCCTCCCTCTCTCTCTCTCTCTCTCTCTCTCTCTCTCTCTCTCTCTCTCCTCAAAGTTCTTCCCTGTCCCCACTTTGCTGAAAGCCAGTTCTCCTGGACCCCCTTCCACGGTGCAAACAGCGAATTTGCATCAGTGGCTGTCTTCTGCAGGAAGTGACCGAACACCAACTCTGCAGGAGAACTCTCGCTAAATCCGGCAGGGCAGATGCTCGGCACATACACTGGTGCCTCGCTGACTCTCCCAGAGGGAGCCAGCCGAGCAGGCTCAGTAAGGACCCCCCCCACACACACACTCAGGAGGTAGCTCTTCCCGGCAGGGGTTTGTGTTAGTGGAGCACTGTTCGTTCAAGAAGTGGGAACTGCGGCTCTCAGTAATGTTGGCAATGAAAACAGGTTCACGTGAGCGCTGGAAGTGAGCTGCCGTCCATTCACATGAACTTCTTCCTGAGAACGAGCAACACAGTCTGGTGATTTCAGTCTGGGGCTTTCGGATTGTCCCTTAGTCCACAAGCTTCACCCACAGCGACCACCAGCCAGAGCCGCTCTAAGGACAACCATAAACAGAAGGTACTGGAGAGGCCTGCATGAGTCACCAGAAGCAAAGCTTTGTCCCTGAGTCCAACAGGTAAACTTAGAGTCTTCCAAACAAGCCTCTTCTTTCTTTTTAAAAATGGTGTGTGTGGGGCCGGGCGGTGGTGGCGCATGCCTTTAATCCCAGCACTCGGGAGGCAGAGGCAGGTGGATCTCTGTGAGTTCGAGGCCAGCCTGTACTACCAAGTGAGTT